TATAAACTTTTACAAAGATATTAAAAAATGAAATACAAAAAAAATTGTACTAAAAATTCAAAGATTATTATTACTTGAAAATTTGAAACTATACTTTGTAACAAATGAACAGATACTTTTAAAAGCATTTACAAGTAGTTTTAACACTTAAAAATGATTTGAGCAGATTTTTTTAGAAAAATATAAGAAAAAATTTTATATCACAATAATTTAAATTACAATGTTGTGTAAAAATCAAGATATTCATTTAACATCATATAGACAATATGAACAGTTACAGTATAAAAAACAAATGTACACGCATAAATGTTAATTATCATAAAATCACTGAACTACTGAATAAAAAAATGGCCACTTATCAACTTCATTTTTAAATAAAATTTCTTCTAAGATAATATTTAATTTAATAAAATGATAACCATTAATTTAAAATGGCTCTTATACTCTTACAACATTTTTTTAAAAATTATATTATACATTGGACTTCATTGAAAACTAGATAATATCTTTATAGCAATAAAATTTATAATTTAACTTAAAAACATTATAACAAATGATAAATATTTGATTTATTAACAAAAAAAATTTAATCCACTCNATACTATAACAAATGATAAATATTTGATTTATTAACAAAAAAAATTTAATCCACTCTAAAACGAGTAAATTTTTACTTTTATTTCTACAATATTGAGTTTTTATCATCAATAATTTATTAACAGTAATAAAAAAAAATTAACTATCATATACTGAGTATTAAAACTGAAATAATTAAAATTATTATTGAACATTATTGTGAAACATTTGGATTATGCACATAATGGAACAATATTTTGTAATTGTGTTCATAATCAAAAGGAAATTCATAGTTTAATTTCTTTGCGATTAGGTATACTCCACCAAGAGCTACAGTTTTATCTAATACAACCAGAGTAAATTCTTGTACAAATCCTTTACTTGAATTATTTTGAAGTTGTTCAATAAAACCATTTTTGAGCAAATCCCAACTTTTCCACACAGAACCAACACATACTACATGTAATCCTCCATTTTCTTTGTGTAAAACCTATTATTATATAATAGGTATTTTACATTGTAATATAATTACAATAAAAATTGGTGTATTATAAAATAAAATTACTTTGTGAGCACTTGGATATAGGGTTTGAACTAATTTTGCTAATTCTTTCCCTGCTTCTTTAAAAATCCAACAACTCAATTCATCTCTTTTTAATGCTAGATCAGCAATTTTTTTGCACAGACTAGCAATTCGTGATTTTTCCATGTCTTCTCCATAGAAAATACTAAATAAGTCGACTCTAAAATTTAAAATAACTAATAATTAATTATTTGACGTCGGTAATCAATAAAAATAGAACAAAAAATAAAGGGATAAGTCACAAAACTCTTTTGAAACAAGAAAAACACAGTTTGTCTAAAAAGAGTCGATTTATAATTAGTGTCTTTTAGTTTTTAACCTAATTCCAATTCAATTCTATAATTTTATTTAGTTTTCTCTAAGTTTTTGCATTTATCACTTTTTAAAAAAAATAACAGAAAAACAAAATTTTTTTTTTTTTTTGCATTAGTATTGTTTTTGTATTAATGGCACAATGTTTTTTTATCAAACGAATTTAACACAAAAAGTATATTTATAAAACAAAAAAACTTTAAAAAATGCTTACAATTTTATAAACAATTGGTAAACTTTTATACTTTGGTTATTTGTTACAAGATTATCAAATTATTAGAAAAATAACTAAATACTGTAAGTTTATAGCATTTTTTCTGAAGTTATATAAAATAATAACTAGAAAGTATGAACTCTTATTTATCTAGATTTGTTTTTAAAACTATTACATACTCAGTATTAATTTTCAGATGATTTTTTATAGCTTTCCATACATTATCAATTGAATAATTATTTGGTGCACAATTTAACTCTTCTATATGGTCCACACATGTTTTTATACTTTTATGTGCAATCCAATAAGCTAAGATAAAAACAAAGAAAGATAAATACACATAGAAAAATAATAGTTATTTTAAATATGATAAGTAATTATTTAAATTTGGTTATTATAAATAAATAATTTAAAAAGTATTCACCACTTCCTTCATCACCAAGTAAATGGCCATAACCTCCACATCGTTTTGTAGTAAAATCAGGATTTACTAAAAGACTGTTAGAACCTGTTCCAGATATTATAACAGCTCCTCCTTTAAAAAATTTTTAATATAATATTAAAATGTACAATAAAATTAATTGTTTTTAATTTAATTTTATAGTATACTTACCTGACTGGCAAGCAAGAGCAATTGGAGCTAATGTATCACTTACAACAATAACTTCATCAGTGAGTTCTGGGAAAAATTCTTTTAATTGGGTTTCAATTTTTTTACAAAACATTGCATCTTCACATCCACTTAAACTAAGACCCTAAATAATAAAAAATGTATAAAAATATGATATAAAATAGATTT